AAAAAGATGGAGTAATATAGTGTATAAAGTAAAACTTACAAGATGAATCACAAAGAACAAAGACATACCGCAAATTTCAATGTTCTTTTGTAAAGGGTTACAAGGCCAGAAAAAAGCTTGACAGCATAGTCTGCTACCTCTTCTGTTTCATATTGTGCAAATGCAAAACCTTTCGGCTTCTCAGTTTCTTTATCCCGAGGAATGTACAAGTCCACCACCCGACCAGCTTGAATCAGGATGTCATACAGTACCCTATCACTTACCCTCTCATCTAGATTGCCTGCAACAGGCATAACCAAAAGGCATTAGATACATCCAAATTTGAGTAACCTACCATGACAAATGCGGTCTGTCAAGATAACCTAAATCACCGTGTATTTCCATTGTCCGATTACTTACGAGTTCTATTTAACCAGAACCCAAATACAATGATGTCTATTCTTTTAATTCTTAACAACAAACACTGGCTGATTTTCGGCGACAATAAATTTTACACCTCATAACGCAATAGATAAATTTTTAAGCACCATAAAACATCCTCATTATAATTTATGGCTATATTGAAAAGGCTGAAACCCTAGCAAATTCCAACACGAGACGTAATAGCCAAAAAGGAAAAAAAAAATCAACAATCATACTTTTGCCCCAAAATCAGCTTAATCAGAATGTCAAATGAGAAGCCCACGACACGACAAATCGCAAGTCGGGGAAAGGAAAGGCAAAAAAGCCCTAATCCTATGGATAAGCAGGAAGGAGTAGAAAACCAAAAAACCTTTCATGTTAACCTAGGGCAAAAAGAAACAGAATTACTTAATCCACCATTACTCAACACGCTAAAATAGAATTCTGTGAAGTTCAGGGAAAAAGAAGAAAAACAGAAAAGGCATCCGCAGAACCAGAAGAAAAGAAGCTTACCGACGTAAACCGTGCAATTGGGATTCTCAGCCGCCATGAGCGATTAATTGATTTCTGGACGATGTTAGAGCAAGTTGCCAGAACCCTAATTCTTTTGAGGACGGTAGGTACCAGGTTTATTTTCGAGATCCTTTCGGATTACTATTATATTTATGGGGTTTATCGCGACGCCGACTTTTGGTTCTTTACCTGAGGGCTAAGGCAGTGCTAAAAGCGATTTTTTTTTTTTTCCTCTAAGATTCGAAACCGACCCTCAAAGCCTGTCTCGTTTCCAGACAAAACACTGCTAACACTCTTTTTCTTTTACCCTCCAACAAAAAAGAAAAAGAAAAAGAAAAAAACACCTCTTTTTCTTTATTGCTTCTCTTATTTCCTTTTTCCCCCCGAGGGCAGATGATATGAGAAATTTTATGATGTGGGATATTATTATATGTTTAAATGAAACTCACTCATTAGTTTTGGATCAATTCCTAAACATGTTTAGTCGTTGATCATGATCGATACCTATTCGAGTTCATTTTCTTATAGTATTAATACTGCTAATACAAGTTTAGGCATTTCACCCATCCATATTTGTATTTACTGTTCATCATCTTTGGTTGATGCTCTTCTCCCTGCCATTAATCCATATTTGTATTTACTGTTCATCATCTTTGGTTGATGCTCTTCTCCCTGCCATTAAAAGTTCATTAGTGATCGAGATGGCAGGTCTCTCTCCTCTTGCCGATCTTTTTATGTTTACACCTACGATACGAGTCAATACACGTACTTGTTAGTGTGCAAGCACTCATTAGCTTGGTAATTTAAGTTAGTTGATATGTATCATTTGTATCAGATGATAATAAGTGTTTTAAAAAAAAAAAAAAACAAGCAAGTTAGTTCTCAAAGCATAAACATCAATCTTCCAAAAGAAAAGTTCTTTTGGCTTTTATGGCATTCCACTAAAAATTCATATTATAATACTCATTACATCAAAAGCCTTAATTAAAGGGGGTTATGTGTATATTTTGAAAATCATAAAGGGATTATATAATAAAGTATTAAGTCATAAGGGAATTATATGATAAAATATAAAAATTATATGGGGTTAGTAGGTGATGTATTTATAAAGGTAATTTCGACATTTTAAAAAGTTTTGTTACGAATGATTATTTTCGTTATTTTGATACTTTAGTTCAAATTATGAGGGGTTATGTATAGTTTTTGAAACTCTAAGGGATTTATGTCAAAAAACTAAGGCACTGTTTGGATTGCCATTTTCTACCAGAAAATTGCGTCGTTTTCCGTGATCACATTTTTCTATTATCTTTTTTCCTCACATACATCAAATCGCTACAGTAATTTTTTCATGAAAAATGACGAAAAATGCAATCCAAACGGGGTCTAAGCCACTAGGAGTAAAGTGGAATTTGCCTTTTAATTTAAACAAGACTAAGCAACTCATTACGTCAATTAATTTCACAAATCAGAAACTCGTTCGCTAGCGAAGATGAACCAAAACTTACGCAACAACACAGATGATTGAAAAATCTATGTTTTCAGAACTAGACCGGGTATCAACTCGGTTGATGTGACCAAATCCTTGACACTTAAAACACTTGGTGTCTCGGCCACGCGGTTTGGGAGTTCCATTACTAGCCTTAAAGTCTGGCTTGGTCGTTGCCTTGGAAGGGAGGCCATTCGGCCTTGGAGGGTGAGGAGGAGCTGCAGCTTTCTTCTCCCTTTTTGGTTGAGAAATACGCCAATTTCCTGCTTGATAAGTAGTGCTTTGTCGCGCACTACCCCTCCTCTTGAGGCGCCGTTCAACTGTGACCGCTTTTTCGAGCATTTCATTCATGTCGAGGTAGTGTTGGAGTTCTACTACTTCAGCAATCTCGGATCTCAATCCATGTAGAAAACGAGCCATAGTGGCCTCTCCATCTTCACGCAAATCCGCCTTCATTATGGCCATTTTTATCTCTTTGTAATAATCCTCAATTGACATGGACCCTTGGTTGAGAGCTTGTAGTCGACAGTGTAGATCTCGGCTATAGTAGCTCGGAACGAACCTTTTTCTTATTAGACTCCTCATTTCCTCCCAAGTCTTCACAGGTCTCTCACGATTTCTCCTTCGGCTTAGTCTAAGTTGGTCCCACCAAATGGAGGCGTAGTCAGTGAATTCCACAGCTACTAGTTTCACCTTTTGCTCCTCCGTATGGGTGTGGCATTCTTATACTAATTCAATTTTTCGTTCCCATTCCAAGTACGCCTCGGGTCCGACTTGCCTTGGAATGAGGGAATCTTGAGTTTGACACCTTTAATGATGTCATCTCCTCGACGTTGGAACCTTTGATCATTTTGGTACCTTCCCTCAAACGCTTCCTCTTCATCATTTGAATATGTCGATTCTTTGCCCTTACTTGAGATAGGTGGAGGTCTCGAGTTCTCCAACTGATCAATCCGGTCATGCAATGGTTCAATATCATTCTTAAGCAATCGTTTGAACTCCCTCATCATGGTTTCCAACTGTAGTGATAGAGCCGTTATTTGGCACGTTTTGCATTGTCATCTTGTCCTAATTTTGGCTATTCATGGTGCTAAGAAAGGGGATTTCACTCATATTTGACATTTGTGTGAATTGTAGGTGGTTAGCATTAAAATGATATCGCGGGGAAAAATTTCCAGAAGACTTTTCACTTCAGAGCGTGGCCACGCCTTAGAAGGAGGACGAAACCGAAAGCCGGACCGTGGTCCACGTGAACCCGAAGCATTGGATTAAAACTCTAAAGGAAATAGCTTTTGTGAGATGAAATTGCTCCAGACGTCTCTGCCTTTGACTTGGTGTGCGGCGGCTATATAAAGAAAAGAAAAGCAAGATTGGGACAACAACTTTTTAGCCTTAGCTTTAATTTTTCTTTTCCTACTTTTTGTCAGCGGCTTTGTCCTGGCTTTTCCGTTGCTTTTGTTTCGCCTGCGGCTAGCGGCCAGACATTAAAGATTTCTGCGGTGGGCTCTGTACAACGGAGACCCTTCTTCACTTTTTGCTTTTGACTTTTCTAAATTCCGTGAGATTCCTCTTGTGCTTTTCCAATTTTTCGGAAATCAATTTAATGTACTCAACTAAATCACGCGGGATTGACACGATGAGAAGCGGCTAATTTCCTCCTCTACCCAAAGGGTGACGCAAGGACGCGGTCCATAATATCTGTGAGATCTAATCGAATCTTCATTATTTCTTCCAATTTATTGCTATTCGTGTGTTTCCTGAATTAATTGTTCATGAGTATTTTATTAATTGAATATCAACGGCCGGATATTTGATTTAATTTAATAGCCTACTGCCACGTTAATTAAATAGAATCCGTAATTGTTCATTTAATTGACACCCCGTGGCAACCACCATAATTGGCTTTATGATGGGGAATTAAATTCCTACGGTCGTACCTAGGGTTGTTATCTGGTTAGAGAAGCAGTCAATGGTCGTACCTTGACTGTCGAAAAGGTAAGGAAGAACTGGTTGTCAGAGCTTATTGATAGCTATAACCAATCTAGTGATGAATGGGTGAAATATCTTTGCATCGATGAACATTTAATTGGACCGTACCTGAGCAGTTGATCCTTTGGGTGGAATTTTGTTAATTGCTATTTTTAGTGAATTGTGCCTTGTGAGTTAGTTTTGAATTTTGTTTGTTCTATTTTATTTTGTTTTTATTTGCCTCCCATTGAAAATCCCCCAATTTTGTTCTACTGTTTTGGAAAGAAATAATTTCCTACCCGCTCCCTGTGGAATCGACCCTACTTGCCATTGTACGCAAAATTAGTATTTTTATAGAAAAATCCGGTATATCGGATCAAGCAAACTCTTCGGGAACAGGGTGAATCAAGTAACCCATTGCACACCTAGGGTCCCTGCTCCAATACTTGGATTGGTTCTATAATTATTTAATTGAGGTGGTAATTAGGACTTTTTAGTAATTATTATTGCACAGGTTAGGCACCTGTCAATTTTTGGCGCCGTTGCCGGGGAGTAGGCGTTTGGATTATTTGTTTCTTTTCAAATTCAGTTTTTATTTTTATTTTATTCTTCTTGGTATTTTTGCTAGTTTATGCCCCATTCTTCTCGCACAGGTGGATTGGTATACGATCCTGAGGTTGAGAAGGCAGCGCGTAAGCGGAGGCAAGAGACCAAGAGGCAAAAAGAAGGGCACTTAATTGCTACAAACGAGTCAGCGGAAGACGAAGTAAGCATGGCCAACACCCAAACATTGAGGGAGCTGGCTGCCCCGGAGCTGACTCACCAGCCCTTGTGCATCACATTCCCCACTATGGCTGAGAATACTGCTTTCGAACTGAAGTCGGGGTTGATTCAGCTCCTACCTGCTTTCCATGGTCTTTCGGGCGAAGAACCCCACAAGCACGTCAAGGAGTTCGAGGTGGTTTGCTCTAGTATGAACTCAAGGATGCAGCTAAAGATTGGCTGTACTACCTACCAGCAGGTAGTATTACCACATGGGTGCAGCTGAAAAAGAAATTCTTGGAAAAATTCTTCCCTGCATCCCGAGTTGCGAGTTTGAGGAAGGAGATCTGCGACATTAAGCAATATCCCGGTGAGTCCTTGTATGAATACTGGAAAAGGTTTAACAAGTTGTGCACTAGATGCCCGCAGCATCAAATTAGTGAGCAACTGTTAATCCAATACTTCTATGAAGGGCTCCAACCAACAGATAGGAGTATCATTGATACTGCGAGTGGGGGAGCACTTGCAAACAAGACACCGAGGGAAGCGTGGGAGCTCATCGAAGCCATGGCAGAGAACTCCCAGCAATTTGGCTTACGTGAGAGCAACCCTCCCCGTAGAGTCAACGAGGTGGAGACGTCATCCCTTCAGCAGCAGATATCGGAGCTAACATCCGTTGTTCGACAATTAGTGGTGGGAAATGTGCCCCAAGTAAAGGCCTGTGGAATCTGCACAAACATGGGTCACCATACTGACTCATGCCCTATATTGCAAGAGAATGGGGTTGAGCAAGTGAACATGGCTGGAGGCGTGCCCGCGCCTCGTAGGCAATACGATCCGTATTCCAACACGTACAATCCAGGTTGGAGAGATCACCCCAATCTCAGCTATGGTAGTAGGCCACAAAATGCATTCTCCAATCGGCCTCCAGGATTTCAGCAACCGTGGCAACATAAGTCTCAACCCTCGTCCTCAAGCTCAGGGAGTTCTTTGGAAGAAATTGTCAAGAGTTTGGCCAACACTACCACTCAACTTGTCACGACCACCACTCAGTTCCAACATGACACCAAAGCAGGCATGAAAGACATGGAGACTCGCATGAGTCAAATGGCAACTGCCATTAATCGCCTAGAGTCCCACGTCTATGGAAAATTGCCATCGCAACCTGAGGTAAACCCCAGAAATGTAAGTGCCATGACATTAAGGAGTGGCAAACCCCAGAAATGTAAGTGCCATGACATTAAGGAGTGGCAAGGAGGTGGAGGGATCTAAGTTGACGATTTCCAAAAAGCAAAAATGAGGAGGAGATAGAAAAGGAGATTGAAGAGGAAGGGCGCATTCGCGAAGAGCCTAAGGTAACATCTATTCCTTCGATCCCTATTAAATCTAATATAGCTCCTTTTCCTTGCAGGTTGGGAAAGACAAAGAGGGCAGAAAAGGAAAAAGAAATCCTGGATGTGTTCCGCAAAGTTCAAGTAAACATCCCCCTATTGGACGCGATCAAGCAGGTACCCAAGTACGCAAAGTTCTTGAAAGACTTGTGCGTTAACAAAAGAAAGCTAAGGGGTGATGAAAGAGTGATGGTAGGAGAGAATGTATCAGCTGTACTTCAAAGGAAACTCCCACCCAAATGCGGAGATCCAGGTATATTTGCTATCCCCTGTAAGATTGGTCATTCTAGTATCAAAAATGCCATGATAGATTTAGGAGCTTCTATTAATGTGATGCCTAAGTCAATCTATGATTCCCTAAATTTAGGACCTTTAAAAGAAACGGGGATAATAATTCAATTGGCTAATCGTACATGTGCTTATCCGGATGGGATAGTTGAGGATGTTTTAGTGCAAGTAAATGGATTAATTTTTCCTGCTGATTTTTATGTGCTTTACATGGATGATAGAAGTGCCCCAAATCCATCACCCATTATATTAGAAAGACCATTTTTGAGTACTGCCCAGACTGAAATTGATGTTAGTAAGGGTACTCTCACGATGGAATTTGATGGAGAAATAGTCCACTTTAATATTTTTGATACAATGAAACATCCTGTTAACTCTCATTCTGTGTTTGCTATGTATACCACTAATCCTTCTGTGCAAGAATTTTCTAAGTTTGCTTATAGGGGTAAATCCAAGGTTGCTGCGAACAAGTCCTGTAGGATGAAAGCAATTCATGAGGTAAAAATAGAGAGAAAATTTAGGAAAAAAGTTGCACTCAATGGCCATGTGGATCCTGGAGGAGAGCCACCAATTACAAGGAAAATTCAATTACATCCAGACTAAAGAGTGGTGCTATGTCTAGCCAAAGACATTAAAGAAAGGCGCTGCTTGGGAGGCAACCCAAGGCTTCTTTTGTTTTAGTTTTCTTATATTTTTGAAGTTTTTGTTAAGTGTTAGTGTCATTTAGTGGGTTGTTATTTTGTGACAGGAAGTTGGCAGCTAGACATACCCACGCTAGGTCATCACACCTAAGGAATGGAGTTTTGGAATTGACGGTCAGACGACTATAACTTCTAAGGCTTGTCCACGCCTTCCAACCCTTCCAAAAAAGAAACTTCAGTCTTCTCCTTCCTGTTGGTGTTACGTCCGCCGCCACCACACCACCTTGTGCACGCAGCCGTCTCACCTCCTCCGTCTTAGTGTCTCACTTTCTCTCCCCGGTGGTCAGGGAAGTTTCTTTTCTTTTCCCCTAATACTTCATTTGTCTTTTCTACATTGAGGACAATGTAGGTTTTAGGTGTGGGGGGGGGGGATTAATGGCTTCCATTATTATTATTATTATTATTATTTTCTTTGGTACTAACAAAAACAAAAAAAAAACAAAAAAAAAATAAAACATTGTAGTTAGGCAGCTTTTTGGCTATTTTATGCTTGTTGAGCATGTTGCTGTGATAAATGACACAATCAAGATGCGTGGGTATGTGGGTAAATATACTAGCTATGCATTTTGTTTCCCTTGGCAGTGTCGTTGAATGTTGGATATACTGGATTAGACCCATTTTTGAAACTTTTGGGTGCTTTTGAGCCTTATATGAGCACATTATTCTTGTTTGCTCTATTTTTGTTTGATTGAGTGGGTATCACACATGGTATTGGCATTCTAGAACTTGCTAGTTTATACATGTCAAGGCCACATTTTTGTTGAATTGGATGCATTTGAAATGATAAGGGCATTTAGGATTTAACCCTCTTTAGCTATCTAAAAAAATCAAGCCCTCATCTTATCTCCCAATAGTGAACCAATTTGAGCTTTTGTCCTTCGTTTCTGGTTGTTATCCGTGTTTGTTAACCCAAGACCTCTTTAAACTTTCTTGTTTACCCCTGTGTTGTCAAGGGATGCCTGAATTTCATCATTTGTGCAAAGCAAACAAAATTGGGGTTGCAAGTGCTGTTAGATTAGGAGCTATATGATGCTATCCTTGTATAAAGGAGGGGAAATTGGAAAAAGGCCACTGACCAGAGGACTTTGGCTTACAGGGCGTGCCCACGCCTTACAGGACTTTCTCCTTAAAAAAAAAAAATCCTGAAGAGACCTCGTGACCAGAGGACTATGGGGTACAAGGCGTGCCCACGCCTTGCGAGCAGTATTCAATCAAAAAAAAAAAAAAGAGAGAGAAAGAGAAAAAATTGGGGACACTTGTACAAAGGGTACAACAAATGGAAACTGCCTTGTTAGTGAAACTCCTCTGATAAAGCACTGTGGTTATTGGGGAGTTTCGGACATTCTCTTGACACTTTACCCCCTATCTATACCTTCTCAACCCGCCTTTCACCTGAGTCCCATTACAACCCTATTAAAGTCCCTTTGATTTATGTGTTTGGTTCACTTTTAAGTGATGGAGATGTGATAAATGTGCAAGCCTATGGTAATGGCATTTCGTGATGTTGAATTGAGCGTTTCTAGTATTCATTCTTTGAATTACAACATGTCCGGTGTGTTCTACCTTTGGTGATATTGTCAGGGACCCTAGATCCTTGTGTTAGTATAGACTACTACATAACCTCTGCTCTCTTGGTTGTATTTCTGAGCTCCGAAATGCTTGAGGGCAAGCATTGTCTAGGTGTGGGGGGATTTGATAGAGCTGTTATTTGGCACGTTTTGCATTGTCATCTTGTCCTAATTTTGGCTATTCATGGTACTAAGAAAGGGGATTTCACTCATATTTGACATTTGTGTGAATTGTAGGTGGTTAGCATTAAAATGATATCGCGGGGAAAAATTTTCAGAAGACTTTTCACTTCAGAGCGTGGCTACGCCTTAGAAGGAGGACGAAACCGAAAGCCGGACCGTGGTCCACGTGAACCCGAAGCATTGGATTAAAACTCTAAAGAAAATAGCTTTTGTGAGATGAAATTGCTCCAGACGTCTCTGCCTTTGACTTGGTGTGCGGCGGCTATATAAAGAAAAGAAAAGCAAGATTGGGACAACAACTTTTTAGCCTTAGCTTTAATTTTTCTTTTCCTACTTTTTGTCAGCGGCTTTGTCCTGGCTTTTCCGTTGCTTTTGTTTCGCCTGCAGCTAGCGGCCAGACATTAAAGATTTCTGCGGATTGCATCTGGGCTCTGTACAACGGAGACCCTTCTTCACTTTTTGCTTTTGATTTTTCTAAATTCCGTGAGATTCCTCTTGTGCTTTTCCAATTCTTCGGAAATCAATTTAATGTACTCAACTAAATCACGCGGGATTGACACGATGAGAAGCGGCTAATTTCCTCCTCTACCCAAAGGGTGACGCAAGGACGCGGTCCATAATATCTGTGAGATCTAATCGAATCTTTATTATTTCTTCCAATTTATTGCTATTCGTGTGTTTCCTGAATTAATTGTTCATGGGTATTTTATTAATTGAATATCAACGGCCGGGTATTTGATTTAATTTAATAGCCTACTGCCACGTTAATTAAATAGAATCCGTAATTGTTCATTTAATTGACACCCCGTGGCAACCACCATAATTGGCTTTATGATGGGGAAACGCAAGATCTAATTTAAATAAACCCTCTTAGCGTATTTATTGATTAGGGTTGGGTTCTTCTAGCTTTAAGGCAATTGGGTAATTAAATTCCTACGATCGTACCTAGGGTTGTTATCTGGTTAGGGAAGCAGTCAATGGTCGTACCTTGACTGTCGAAAAGGTAAGGAAGAACTGGTTGTCAGAGCTTATTGATAGCTATAACCAACCTAGTGATGAATGGGTGAAATATCTTTGCATCGATGAACATTTAATTGGACCGTGCCTGAGCAGTTGATCTTTTGGGTGGAATTTTGTTAATTGCTATTTTTAGTGAATTGTGCCTTGTGAGTTAGTTTTGAATTTTGTTTGTTCTATTTTATTTTGTTTTTATTTGCCTCCCATTGAAAATCCCCCAATTTTGTTCTACTGTTTTGGAAAGAAATAATTTTCTACCCGCTCCCTGTGGAATCGATCCTACTTGCCATTGTACGCAAAATTAGTATTTTTATAGAAAAATCCGGTATATCGGATCAAGCAAACTCTTCGGGAACAGGGTGAATCAAGTAACCCATTGCACACCTAGGGTCCCTGCTCCAGTACTTGGATTGGTTCTATAATTATTTAATTGAGGTGGTAATTAGCACTTTTTAGTAATTATTATTGCACAGGTTCGGCACCTGTCATGTAGTTTGATGTCCATGGTTTGGTCACCGACTTCATTAGACGTATTTAGTTCACCTGCAAACAAATAAACAAAACGAGTTCCTCTCTTTTTTTTTTAATAATACGATGTATAGGTCACTCACACTCGTGTTTCACTCAAATGTATCACTCCCCAATAATCTTACCAAGCAATTCCTTGGCTGGCTAGTTGCTCAGGTTGAACAAACTAGGCGTCACCGCAGTGTACGTTCTTGACTAGTCAACAAGTGACACACAAGCTAGTAGCAATAAATGGAGGTGAATGAATAAATACCTAGACAACACTCAAGACTCAGAATATAGCTGGACAATAACTAACGACTCAAAAGAAAGTAAGACAATTAACTTGAATGCTGAAATTTTGAAAATCCTAGAAAAACTCTACCCGAAACCCAATTTTCTGGAATTTTTTGAGCTGCTGGTCCGTGGTCTTTTTAGTAAGGATTTTGGAGTATTTTGGGTGACCTTAGACTGCTCAAATAATGGGCAATCTACTACCCAAAACTTAGCCTAATCGGGTGTCACAATTGCTCCAACGATTTTAGGAAAATTCAAGAATTCAAAATTCGGAAATTGAAAAGTTTGATCTGATTCGGACACTTGGGGTTGCCAAAGGAATGGAAACCTTGGAGTTTGGTCAGATTTGGGAGTCCCAAGTGGTTCAAATGCGAAAATTTGGGGCTGGTCAAGAATTGGAGGTTGTTCAGATTTGAAAGTCCAAATTTGAATCAGATTTGGTGGCTTGAAAGCTGACCAAAACTAGGGCTATTCAGATTTGGAAGACCAAATTTGAATCAGATTTGGTAAAACTTGAAGGCTGGTCAAGAATTGGAAACTAGAGCCGTCTTTCTTGAATTTTTTTTGACTTCTATTGGGGTGTTTTCACACAATAGCCAACCAGTTTAGACCACAATCTCACAGCAATTAATGTAAACAACTTGGACAGATTTGGTTTCAAGATCAAAGTTCCATGAAAACAAGAACACGGTTGAAGGTTTATTTCAGATTTCAAGACTGCCAAGATTAACCTCTGGTGATCCAAGAAGCTCAAGACTTTCCCAATAAGGTTTTGATATTCGAGTTTTGCAAAGCAACAACACAAAGGTTCAAGAAACAATTGCAAACAGATTCGACATCCCAGCAAATTAATTCCAGCAACGACTCAAGGGAATGACAATAAGGTATGGAACACAACAGATTTTTGGATTTAAACAGAATATAAACACAAGACAAAACTGGACAGAAATTTTCAGACAACAACTAAACAACAAAGACAGATTTGTGACAAGGAAATAACCAAGACAAATTTCGGACTTGACAAACCCGAGCACTTGAGCTACGAATTTAGAAGACTAAACAGATCTAAAAACAATAAAAAGGGATATACGTGATACCTCTAACCAGCTCTGATGCCAGTTGATACGAGACGCGGAAGCTACTTCGGATCTAGAGGAACACGTTGACGATTTGATGGAGTTGAACCCGAACTTGGACCACTCAAGAACAGATTCAACGGTAGAGGACGCCACAATCAAGTATGTGTTCTTGATTGTTAAGTCAAGAACAGCCTAGGATCAACTCTAGAATGTTCAACTTAGCTTTCACAAGTTAAGGGAATTTGCGAGGGAACTTAACTGCGGCTCAACCCGCCGTTTGGAGTTTGAACACTTGCATCTTTAATTGTAAGCAGCATTTTAGTAGTCATGCAAGGATATTCCAACTCAATTCCTTCAATAGCCGGTTCTCTTGGGCTTGGACGGCACGGACCAAGGTTTGGAGGGACTCCTTGAATCTCTTAACTCGTGCTCGTGTCACTGGTTCTTAGGGCACCTTCACAGGGTGTACTTGAACACTTTGGGCCTCGTGCTCAACTGCATCATCTTGTATAGAGTAGGAATATATGTAGTATAAAATCTATCGTATTCGACCAAAAAAAAAAAAAACTAGCAAACGTCCAATAATTTCCTAAACAAGAAATTACTAGGAAAGCACCGATCAAGGAATTTGCTGCAGCTGCAACCCATAATTCCCTAGCGAGCTAGAGATGAAAGATAGTTCACCAAATTTGCGCTCATTCCACAGCATGCAAACCTCTCACAAGTCGCAATATGATAGTTATTGGATTTTAAGAAAAAAAAATTAAAACATGATGTTTATGTAGGAGAAATAGCAATATAATAAAAAGTGGGATAAAGAGTGACATAGGGTATGTGACAGAAGATCCGTTGCAAGGTTTTTGCAATGTTTAAACCAATTGGTTTCTTCTTGTACGGTTGTTTCGTCGCTGCCCAATTGATAGGGTTCATTACTGTTGCTAAGGGTGTGAATCGAAATCGAAATCGGTAATTCGAAACTTTGAAATTGAAATTTTTTGAAATTTTGATGTCAGAATTTTCGACCGATTTCGATTTCGAATTCACTAATTCTAATTTCACCGAATTCTTGAATATAAAAATTATTATTATTATTATATTACATATATATATAAAAATATTATATATATGTGTGCAAACAAAATTGAAATCGAAATTATTTCGATTTCACCGAATTCATAAATATAAAAATTATTATTATAATATAAATGTTATATTATATATTATATATATGTATATATATGGAAAAATAGATTTGAAATCAAAATAGGAATTCCGAATTCCGATTTCGATTTCAATTTCGAATTGTGAATTCGAAATTGAAATTTTTGATTTGAAAAATCCCATTACCGAATTCCTGTCATAAATTATGTGCTATGCCCAAAATTAATTTGACTAGACAATTTACACGCACGATCGAGGACCGTACCAAGGATGAAGCTACATGTATGCACAGCAACACGGCTTGAACACGGTATAACCTTTTTTTTTTTTTTGATAATGAAAACGGAGTTTCATTAAAGTAAATCTGCTTTTGCAGCGTACATAATCTCTTTTGGGAATTTTACAAACCAGACGTGGCTTCCCTCAATTGGCAGAGACAAATGAGACAATAAATGAGCAGGAACACTGTTCTTCCTTCTTACATGTGAAACGCGTACATGTGAAACGCGTATGTAGCAAAAATCCTTCAGCATATCTCTAATGCCTCTGATCAAGTTACCTAACACCAATAAGTCAAGACTTGTACTATTGATTCTCTGGACAATACCCAAGGCATCCCCTTCTAGAGTGAGATGAGAAATACCAAAATCTTTGGCAAATTGTAAAGCTTTAAGAAAAGTCAAGCATTCCACATGCTCTGCATTAAGGGCCTCCAAAACTCTTTCAGCCATTAAAGCTTCCACTTGTCCTTGATGGTCTCTCACCACAACTCCAATTCCAGCCCCAGTATCAGAGAAGGTCTCTCACCACAACTCCAATTCCAGCCCCAGTATCAGAGAAGGCTCCATCAACATTTATTTTCAAAATACCTTCTTCAGGAGCTACCCACTTGGTCGAACACGGTATAACTAAAGATCTCTTCCACCTGACCCTGATTTTATGACTTCTTGTGTTGCATTTCAAAATACCACTATCTTCCACGACCGCTAATGCACCGATAGATGATGGATGCAGTAAACGATAGAGAGAGCGAGATTGCACTGTTGGTCTCTAGCGCCTCAAATCATCATGATAATAGCTGGATTGACATCCCATCATCATCATCTTCATTGACCCCAACATGGACTTACGACGTCTCTCTAAGTTTCAGAGGCGAAGATACTCGCAGAAGTTTTGTAGCCCATCTCTTCCGAGCTCTTCGCAGCAAAGGCATCTATACTTACAAAGATGATCAGAGATTGGAGAAGGGCAAGTCGATTTCACCCGAACGCTTGCAAGCAATCCAAGAATCGTTGTTTTCAATCGTAATATTCTCCAAGGGCTATGCATCCTCGACGTGGTGCTTGGAGGAACTTGTAAAGATCACCGAATGTCACGAGATCATTGGACAATCTGTGTTGCCAATATTCTACGACGTCGATCCGTCAGACGTACGCAAGCAGAGGAATAGCTTCGCCGATGCTTTTGCCAAACACGAGAGAGACCATAGCCCGGAGAAGGTGCAGAAGTGGAAGGAAGCTATGTCTCAAGCAGCCGGCATATCAGGCTGGCACTCTTGTGATTTCGCAGATGAGTAAGTACTACCACCCAGCTTCATGGTTGCCCACTTGCCTTGCCTAGCTAGCACGTGTATGATTTTTTAATTACACACGTTATACTAAAAAGACTTGTAATTTACTTAGTTGAAATAATAAATTGATTAACATAATAAACCAATATTTTGAGAACCAAAACATTTTCTATTTTTTTGCAAAAGAAAAAAAAAGTGTCCTAGGAAGCCTTACTAACACAACGCAACGTTCTATCTTTGGATATATGTTTAATTGATCAATGCATATATAGGAGGTGACAAACAAATAAGTGTAACGCAAATCGTTAAATTGAAATCCCGTTTGCCAAGTGAGTTTTTTTTGTGTTTATTTAAAACTTTACTGTAGTTTACTTTAGAAGTTGTAGAAAAAATTTTTGAAGTGCGTAAAGTTTCGGATATTTTGAAGTTTTCTGTATAGTTTAAAAACTTTGATAAGTTTTTGAAAGTTACTATAATTAAAGTTTTTAAAAAAACTTGTGGCAGACAAAATTGTCCAAAAACTTGTTTGACAAACAAGGCCTAAAGTATGCGATAAGTTTAAATACGTATCATTACAAGAAAGCGTTCTGGTAGTATAGTAAAAAAACTTCTTTATCAACTTAAGAACGGGAACTCATCAACTGGGAGCAAATTATATATTTTTACAAGTATTAGAGAACCAAATACTACTTAATTACCTACCTATTGAGATGAAGAGTTAAGCTATATTATGTATTTGAGACATAGTATTTGGCCTGTTTTTGTTTTTTTTTTTGAATAAGCTCAACTCCTCAAAGCTGTGTTGCGGTCGTACCGGTGCCGTTACTTTCTGGTTTCAGCTTGTTATAGATTGAAAAAATATTTCGTAGTGAAGGACAGTTCTCAGACCTACAAAATCATTTTGCTATGCATTAACTTGGATGTTAGTGTTACTTAACGGTCGCTTCGATGGTGTGATATCCACCATGTATATTGTGATTGTATAAGACTAATAGCACGTTTGTTTGCAGTAATAACTAATACTTACTCAAGTCGTATTACTAATTAATGTCGTGCTTGGACATTTTGATGGATCAATCAACAGCGATGAGTTCATCGAGAAATTTGTTCAAGACCTGCATAGTCGGTTGCACCAGTTTGAACAACCACCTGGCGAACATAATCTGGTGGGAGTAGGATCTCATACGGAGGAAGTCATTTCGTTGATGGATTTGAGAAGTCCCGAAGTCCGCATAGTGGGACTCCACGGGAAGGTGGGAATAGGCAAGACAACTGTTGCCAGAGCCCTTTTTGACAGATTATCTGACAAGTATGAAGCTGCTTGTTTTCTGGATGATGTTGGCCAAATTTCCCAGAAACACGGAGTGGATTATTTACAAGAAATCCTACTCTCCGAGATGCTCAAGCTAAGAAACATCAAGATAAGAAGCACGAGCGAAGGGCTGAGTATGATGGCACGCCGGTTTCGACACCTGAGGACCCTAATCGTTCTTGATGCTGTGGACCACGCAAACCAGTTGGAGGCCTTGGCAGGAAAACGCAACTGGTTTGGTGGCGGGAGTAGAATTGTCATAACAGCAAGAGATGAAGAGTTGCTGTCTAAATATGGAGCTGATGGTACGTATAAGGTGTACGGATTGTCCTACAACCAAGCTAAACAGCTTTTCAGTCTCCACGCATTTGCGAACAGAACTCCTGGAGCTTTCAGAAAGAGCTTGGGTGGTCCAATTTGTAGTATTTGCAGACTTCCCTCGTCTATTAAGGTCTGGGCTTCTTTGGTCCGCGGTCGAGATATAGCCTGGAGGGAGGTTTTTACAACGATCAAACCAAATGGTTTCGTTTCGGGCGTTTGTTTCTTTGTTGCCCAACTCTTATGTAACATATTTTTTACTGAACAACTTAGGTTACTTTCAACAAATTCAACAACTTAAGTTTCAAGTTCAGCAGTAGCAAGAATGTCCGTTTTCTGAAACTCATTGTTTTGTCGCTCTCTATCTGAATGACTACCCCCCCCCCCCCCGCCGCGGGGGAAGAGAAGGGAAGAAAAGAGAAACAAGAGTTTGGAATAGGTAATTCTGCAGAGAACTGTTTATAAACTATCCACTGAACTTCAACATCATTTTGTGCACATTATCCACTGAATACCAAGACGATCATCTGTCCATAGACATGCGTCAAGAATTCATGATATGCCGTTCAAGAAAAGGCAGGCAATTCAATCAAGTTAAATAACTTATCCACAATGCTATTATATGATATTTTCCAAAAAAAAAAATGAATTGATTCACAAGTTACTGAGATTTGCAATGACCTGGACCAATGCCAAGTTGATGAGTTGAAGAAAGGTCTGACTTGACAAAGCCATATAATGGAGCGATATAATTAATTAAGACTAGCATGAATCCGGTCATTTTTTTTGTTGGGAAGGTAGTTTTCAAGCCATTTAATTAAGGTTTTCTTTTTTTTTTTTAGGATAAATGGAAAAGTATCAAGTTCAATATTTCTCATTTATATTTTCTCTTTTCATATCATCCGATTCATCCCTCCTCGTTACTTACTTAAGGTTTTGAGCCATGCCAGAACCATGAGGGAAAAGATGAAAGAAAACATACATACATACATGAGGAGCAAATAAATAGCAAATGTGGTCTTCCTCTTGTTGCAATACATAAATAGAAAGCTAAAAGTGACTAATTCCAGAATATTAGTACTACAACAGTCTCTAATCTACTACTGCTATGTTATGGAGGAAGAGAGAAGTCACAGAAAGAAGAGGAGAGGGGTTCAATTGGAAAGTGAAGATGCCCTCCCCTGGTTAATTCCAGAATATTACGTACTGCCTGCATCTGCATGATTTTTCCTTTTTTTTTGTACTTAAAAAATTGCTCCCCATCTCCCCACGTTGACTTGCAGGATCCAGCTCAGCTCCCAACAGGCCGCAACAACACGCATTTGAATTTGCTGAATTGGATCAGATTTATTTATGACTCAGCTGTGTCTTCCGTCATCGTGGAGTGCGACGTCTGCCGGCCGGACCACAAAAGCCAACACGTGGATCTTTACGGTTTACACCGCCAGTTAAACTTCCATTTTTATTGACCACGTCGAATCATCCACTCACCATGCTCCACGTGGCAGCCAACACGTCAACCCTTGCCACCAGCTCCGACCATCGGACCATCATCTCTCAGGTGAGTTTTATCAATCAAAAAAAATTCTTCTTAACCTTTTTATGTTGCCCCTGCACTCCTCGAAATCCTAGACCCTTTTTTTTAATATTATTTAAGCACTGAAAATCCTTCTTGTTAGTAAGTACCAGTAGGAGTACATTTCTTCTTTACCACTTTGGTATTCTTGTCGGGGTAATACTTTCATAATACAGCTAATGTGTCTCTCATCAGCCTTCTTGACTTGAGAACATGGCGGGATTTCAGGTGGCTTTTGTCTTTTGCCTTTCTTTTCGGAAACCTTTCTTTTCATATGATAAAAAAAAACCTAGCAGCCAACGATTTGCTTGCTCTGCCAATAAATGGAACTAAATTCATGGGTTTTAGCCAATGTTTTTAAACTCGGACCGGTCAGTGAACCGGAGAGGTGGCCGGTTCGCGGTTCGACCGGTCCGACCGGTCCAACGGCCGGTTCAAAGGTTCACTGTTTTTTTTTTTTTTAGTGTTAAGTACTAAGCAGGTTTCATTCTACACTTGAACTTTACCAACATAACTTAATTTAAGTTATGATAATAATAAATTTTCTAAAAGTTATACATAAAACATGGAATGATAAATATAATTAAAATATCATAATTCACCATAAGTTTTCATAAATTCATTATAAACATAAATAGATACAATCCAAATGTTCACCAATTATCACAAATAAAAACACAAAAAATAAATAAATTAAATATTGAAATTCTTTTACAACCCTTAAAAAAATCCATAAAAGAGTTCAAGTTAAGACAAACTATTTGAATAGCAAACTTTTATCAGTGGCATGATAAGCAACCACACCACCTTCACAATTTCATCAACTTAAGCTGAAAAAGTTAAAATTTTATTATAAAAATATAAATCTAATTGCTCAAACTAAAAAAAACTAAAAATTTTTGAAAAACAAATATACAGTTAAACACATAAAAAATTAATTGCTACTAAACATTACTAATTAACATGTTATATTAAATTCAATGATCCTATACCATTAATTATTTTAAATTCAATTATCAATAGCTTCGATTATGTGCCAACTACCATATTTTTGACCAGCCCAATGTTATTATTTGTAATTCCTACCCAATTCCTACACGGATGTGCACTACTTTTGCAAAAATTCATCCTTAATTAATCGAATAAAAATAAAACAAAAATGAGGGAAACATATGAAAATTGAGGGGAAAAAGAAGAAAATGCAAAAAATCAACTAAAGATAATAATATAGAAAAAAAAACCTTGAAAAGAAAAAAATTAAACTTACTAAGATGTTGGAAAACAAGAAAAGTTGAAATTTTCAACTTGTTTACAATTTGCTAAAGATAATAACCTGATAATAATGGTGAAGACTTGAGAAAATTTTGTTGTGGATATTTGGGTTAAAAATGGTTAAGAAGAAAAAATTGAAAAAAAAAAGAGAAGAACTTGATGTTTTAATATATTTTTTAGTCAAGTAAAATTCTCAACAAACTTAATTATAGTCTAGTGGTGAGATTGTTATATCCAAACTTGGAGACCCATGTTCGAATCTTAACTACACCATTCTTGATATTTTGTTGAAAAATTTAAAAAACCGCCGGTTCACGGTTCGTCCGGTTCGTCCGGATTTCAACGGTTCTCCATGAACTTCCGGCTTTAGCATTAGACCGGACCGGTGACATGGCCGGTTCGCGGTCCAACCGGTCGAACCGGCCGGTCCGGTCCGGTTCTGAAAACATTGGTTTTAGCAGTATGAAGAAACGTTTTGCAAAATGTAATGAGTGCATTTGTTTGTTTTGCGACGGACCAAAATTGTGTACAACCAGCGGCAAAGTGGTAAAAAAATTGCTCCTTTCTAGGCTTGGACAGCAGCGGCTCCTCTGTCCGTTTCCTCTGCAAAAATTGTCGTTACTTCCATAACTAAAATTCAATCCACCATCTATTGTTGGGACCTTTTTCTGGGCAAAAATAATGAGTACCTTCCTAGATCTATCATTATTGTTTTTCTCTTTTTTTTTCCCTTTTTTGGCCAGCATTTAGGAAAAGCACTACTACTACTGCTACTTTCACTGGCTGTATACTTCCCATTTTATTGCACTTGCGTTGCGAGGCTTTTAACCGATTTTGGGGGCGGGGGGTAAAACTTTTATTCACTATTCAATTCTTTTTCAAAACAGTAACACACAAGCTAGGCGTCACCGCAGTGTACGTTCTTGACTTGTCAACAAGTGACACACAAGCTAGTAGCAATAAATGGAGGTGAATGAATAAAGACCTAGACACGACTCAAGACTCAGAATATAGTTGGACAATAACTAACGACTTAAAAGAAAGTAAGACAATTAACTTGAATGCTGAAATTTTGAAAATCCTAGAAAAACTCTGCCCGAAACCCAATTTTCTGGAATTTGTTGAGCTGCTGGTCCGTGGTCTTTTTAGTAAGGGTTTTGGAGTATTTTGGGTGGCCTTAGGCTGCTCAAATAATGGGCAATCTATTACCCAAAACTTAGCTCAATCGGGTGTCATAATTGCTCCAACGGTTTTAGGAAAATTCAAGAATTCAAGATTCGGAAATTGAAAAGTTTGATCTGATTCGGACACTTGGGGTTGCCAAAGGATTGGAAATCTTGGAGTTTGGTCAGATTTGGGAGTCCCAAGTGGTTCAAATTCGAAATTTTGGGGCTGGTCAAGAATTGAAGGTTGTTCAGATTTGGAAGTCCAAGTTTGAATCAGATTTGGTGGCTTGAAGGCTGACCAAAACTAGGGCTGTTCAGATTTGGAAGTTCAAGTTTGAATCAGATTTGGTAAAACTTGGAGGCTGGTCAAGAATTGGAAACTAGAGCCGTCTTTCTTCAATTTTTTTTGACTTCTGTTGGGGTGTTTTCACACAATAGCCAGCCAGTTTAGACCACAATCTCACAGCAATTAATGTAAACAACTTGGACAGATTTGGTTTCAAAATCAAAGTTCCATGAAAACAAGAACACGGTTGATGGTTTATTTCATGTTTCAAGACTGCCAAGATTAACCTCTGGTGATCCAAGAAGCTCAAGACTTCCCCAATAAGGTTTTGATGTTCGAGTTTTGCAAAGCAACAACACAAAGGTTCAAGAAACAAGTGCAAACAGATTCGGCATCCCAGCAAATTAATTCTAGCAACGACTCAAGGGAATGACAATAAGGTATGGAACACAATAGATTTTTGGATTTAAACAGAACATAAACACAAGACAAAACTGGACAGAAATTTTCGGACAACAACTAAACAACAAAGACAGATTTGTAACAAGGAAACAACCAAGACAGATTTCGGACTTGACAAACCCGAGCACTTGAGCTACGAATTTAGAAGACTAAAACAAATCTAAAAACAATAAAAAGGGATATACGTGATACCTCTAACCAACTCTGATCCCAGTTGATACGAGACGCGGAAGCTACTTCGGATCTAGAGGAACACGTTGACGATTTGATGGAGTTGAACCCGAACTTGGACCACTCAAGAACAGATTCAACGGTAAAGGACGCCACAATCAAATATGTGTTCTTGATTGATATGTCAAGAACAGCCTAGGATCAACTCTAGGATGTTCAACTTAGCTTTCACAACCTAAGGGAATTTGCGAGGGTACTTAACTGCGGCTCAGCCCGTCGTTTGGAACTTGAACACTTGCATCTTCAATTGTAAGCAGCATTTTAGTAGTCGTGCAGCATTTTAGTAGTCGTGCAAGGATATTCCAACTCAATTCCTTCAATGGCCGGTTTCCCTTGGACTTAGACGGCACGGACCAAGGTTTGGAGGGACTCCTTGAATTTCTTAACTCGTGCTCGTGTCACTGGACCTTGGGGCACCTTCACAGGGTGTACTTGAACACTTTGGGTCTCGTGCTCAACCGCATCATCTAGTATAGAGTAGGAATATATGTAATATAAAATCTATCGTATTCAACCAAAAAAAAAAGAAGAACTAGCAAACGTCCAATAATTTCCTTAACAAGAAATTACTAGGAAAGCACCGATCAAGGAATTTGCTGCAACTGCAACCCATAATTCCCTAGCGAGCTAGAGATGAAAGATAGTTCACCAGATTTGCGCTCATTCCACAGCATGCAAACCTCTCACAAGTCGCAATATGATAGTTATTGGATCTTAAGAAAACAAAAAAAAAATTAAAACATGATGTTTATGTAGGAGAAATAATAATATAATAAAAAGTGAGATAAAGAGTAACATAGGGTATGTGACAGAAGATCCGTTGCAAGGTTTTTGCAACGTTTAAACCAGTTGGTTTCTTCTTGTACGGTTGTTTCGTCACTGCCCAATTGATAGGGTTCATTACTGTTGCTAAGGGTGTGAATCGAAATAGAAATCGGTAATTCGGAACTTTGAAATTGGAATTTTTTGAAATTTTGATGTCAGAATTTTCCACCGATTTCGATTTCGAATTCACTAATTCTGATTTCACCGAATTCTTGAATATAAAAATTATTATTATTATTATATTACATATATATATAAAAATATTATATATATGTGTGCAAACGAAATTGAAATCGAAATAGGAATTTCGATTTCACCGAATTCATGAATATAAATATTATTATTATAATATAAATATTATATTATATTATATATATATATATATGGAAAAATAGATTTGAAATCAAAATAAGAATTCCGATTTCCGATTTCGATTTCAATTTCGAATTGTAAATTCGAAATTGGAATTTTTTATTTGAAAAATCCCATTACCGAATTCCTGTCGTAAATTATGTGCTATGCCAAAATTAATTTGACTAGACAATTTACACGCACGATCGAGGACCGTACCAAGGATGAAGCTACATGTATGCACAACAACACGGCTTGAACACGGTATAACCTTTTTTTTTTTTTTTGATAATGAAAACGGAGCTTCGTTAAAGTAAATCTGCTTTTGCAGCGTACATAATCTTCTTTGGGAAGTTTACAAACCAGACGTGGCTTCCCTCAATTGACAGAGACAAATGAGACAATAAATGAGTAGGAACACTGTCCTTTCTTCTTACATGTGAAACGCGTATGTAGCAAAAATCCTTCAGCATATCTCTAATGCCTCTGATCAAGTTACCTAACACCAATAAGTCAAGACTTGTACTATTGATTCTCTGGACAATACCCAAGGCATCCCCTTCTAGGGTGAGATGAGAAATACCAAAATCTTTGGCAAATTGTAAAGCTTTAAGAAAAGTCAAGCATTCCACATGCTCTGCATTAAGGGCCTCCAAAACTCTTTCAGCCATTAAAGCTTCCACTTGTCCTTGATGGTCTCTCACCACAACTCCAATTCCAGCCCCAGTATCAGAGAAGGTCTCTCACCACAACTCCAATTCCAGCCCCAGTATCAGAGAAGGCTCCATCAACATTTATTTTCAAAATACCTTCTTCAGGAGCTACCCACTTGGTCGAACACGGTATAACTAAAGATCTCTTCCACCTGACCCTGATTTTATGACTTCTTGTGTTGCATTTCAAAATACCACTATCTTTCACGACCGCTAATGCACCGATAGATGATGGATGCAGTAAACGATAGAGAGAGCGAGATTGCACTGTTGGTCTCTAGCGCCTCAAATCATCATGATAATAGCTGGATTGACATCCCATCATCATCATCTTCATCGACCCCAACATGGACTTACGACGTCTCTCTAAGTTTCAGAGGCGAAGATACTCGCAGAAGTTTTGTAGCCCATCTCTTCCGAGCTCTTCGCAGCAAAGGCATCTATACTTACAAAGATGATCAGAGATTGGAGAAGGGCAAGTCGATTTCACCCGAACGCTTGCAAGCAATCCAAGAATCGTTGTTTTCAATCGTAATATTCTCCAAGGGCTATGCATCCTCGACGTGGTGCTTGGAGGAACTTGTAAAGATCACCGAATGTCACGAGATCATTGGACAATCTGTGTTGCCAATATTCTACGACGTCGATCCGTCAGACGTACGCAAGCAGAGGAATAGCTTCGCCGATGCTTTTGCCAAACACGAGAGAGACCATAGCCCGGAGAAGGTGCAGAAGTGGAAGGAAGCTATGTCTCAAGCAGCCGGCATATCAGGCTGGCACTCTTGTGATTTCGCAGATGAGTAAGTACTACCACCCAGCTTCATGGTTGCCCACTTGCCTTGCCTAGCTAGCACGTGTATGATTTTTTAATTACACACGTTATACTAAAAAGACTTGTAATTTACTTAGTTGAAATAATAAATTGATTAACATAATAAACCAATATTTTGAGAACCAAAACATTTTCTATTTTTTTGCAAAAGAAAAAAAAAGTGTCCTAGGAAGCCTTACTAACACAACGCAACGTTCTATCTTTGGATATATGTTTAATTGATCAATGCATATATAGGAGGTGACAAACAAATAAGTGTAACGCAAATCGTTAAATTGAAATCCCGTTTGCCAAGTGAGTTTTTTTTGTGTTTATTTAAAACTTTACTGTAGTTTACTTTAGAAGTTGTAGAAAAAATTTTTGAAGTGCGTAAAGTTTCGGATATTTTGAAGTTTTCTGTATAGTTTAAAAACTTTGATAAGTTTTTGAAAGTTACTATAATTAAAGTTTTTAAAAAAACTTGTGGCAGACAAAATTGTCCAAAAACTTGTTTGACAAACAAGGCCTAAAGTATGCGATAAGTTTAAATACGTATCATTACAAGAAAGCGTTCTGGTAGTATAGTAAAAAAACTTCTTTATCAACTTAAGAACGGGAACTCATCAACTGGGAGCAAATTATATATTTTTACAAGTATTAGAGAACCAAATACTACTTAATTACCTACCTATTGAGATGAAGAGTTAAGCTATATTATGTATTTGAGACATAGTATTTGGCCTGTTTTTGTTTTTTTTTTTGAATAAGCTCAACTCCTCAAAGCTGTGTTGCGGTCGTACCGGTGCCGTTACTTTCTGGTTTCAGCTTGTTATAGATTGAAAAAATATTTCGTAGTGAAGGACAGTTCTCAGACCTACAAAATCATTTTGCTATGCATTAACTTGGATGTTAGTGTTACTTAACGGTCGCTTCGATGGTGTGATATCCACCATGTATATTGTGATTGTATAAGACTAATAGCACGTTTGTTTGCAGTAATAACTAATACTTACTCAAGTCGTATTACTAATTAATGTCGTGCTTGGACATTTTGATGGATCAATCAACAGCGATGAGTTCATCGAGAAATTTGTTCAAGACCTGCATAGTCGGTTGCACCAGTTTGAACAACCACCTGGCGAACATAATCTGGTGGGAGTAGGATCTCATACGGAGGAAGTCATTTCGTTGATGGATTTGAGAAGTCCCGAAGTCCGCATAGTGGGACTCCACGGGAAGGTGGGAATAGGCAAGACAACTGTTGCCAGAGCCCTTTTTGACAGATTATCTGACAAGTATGAAGCTGCTTGTTTTCTGGATGATGTTGGCCAAATTTCCCAGAAACACGGAGTGGATTATTTACAAGAAATCCTACTCTCCGAGATGCTCAAGCTAAGAAATGTCAAGATAAGAAGCACGAGCGAAGGGCTGAGTATGATGGCTCGCCGGTTTCGATACCTGAGGACCCTAATCGTTCTTGATGCTGTGGACCATGCAAACCAGTTGGAGGCCTTGGCGGGAAAACGTAACTGGTTTGGTGGCGGGAGTAGAATTGTCATAACAGCAAGAGATGAAGAGTTGCTGTCTAAATATGGAGCTGATGGTACGTATAAGGTGTACGGATTGTCCTACAACCAAGCTAAACAGCTCTTCAGTCTCCACGCATTTGGGAACAGAACTCCTGGAGCTTTCAGAAAGAGCTTGGGTGGTCCAATTTGTAGTATTTGCAGACTTCCCTCGTCTATTAAGGTCTGGACTTCTTTGGTCCGCGGTCGAGATATAGCCTGGAGGGAGGTTTTTGCAACGTTCAAACCAAACTGATATGGGTCATTACTGTTGCCACAATAGTCGCCAAGGGGTTCGCTAGTGGACCTGGTTTTCCCGACTTTCCTGGATTTCCACCATTTCCTAAGAATCCCTAAGGCGATTGCAGGAGCTCCCTAGTTTCCACCATTACTTTTCAAACTGAACTGCGCAACTCTTATGTAACATATTTGTTGATTGATTGTTTTGCATCGCAGAGTTTGGCCGTCTTTTTGGTGTTTGTTTATTTGGATTTTGGTGCAACAGTCATTGGTACTACTAACTAAATTGCTTCTGGAATTCGTTGTATCAAGAATTCAGCAGTAGCAAGAATGTCCGTTTTCTGAAACTCATTGTTTTGTCGCTCTCTATCTGAATGACTACCCCCCCTCCCCTACCGCGGGGGAAGAGAAGAAAAGAAAAGAGAAACAAAGAGTTTGGATTTGGAATAGGTAATTCTGCAGAGAACTGTTTATAAACTATCCACTGTACTCCAACATCATTTTGTGCACATTATCCACTAAATACCAAGACGATCATCTGTCCATAGACATGCGTCAAGAATTCATGATACGCCGTTCAAGAAAAGGCAGGCAATTCAATCAAGTTAAATAACTTATCCACGATGCTATTATATAATATTTTCCAAAAAAAAAAAAAATTTTGAATTGATTCACAAGTTACTGAGATTTGCAATGACCTGGACCAATGCCAAGTTGATGAGTTGAAGAAAGATCTGACGTGACAAAGCCATATAATGGAGCGATATAATTAATTAAGACTAGCATGAATCAGGTTATTTTTTTTGTTGGGAAGGTAGTTTTCAAGCCATTTAATTAAGGTTTTTTTTTTTTTTAGAGAATAAGTGAAGAGGTATCAAGTTCTTAATCTCTCATTTATATTTTCTCTTCTTGTATCAAATCCGATTCATCTGCATTATTATTATTATTATTTTTTGTACTTAGAAATTGCTCCCCATCTCCCCACGTTGACTTGCTGGAATCCAGCTCAGCTCAGCTCCCAACAAGACGCAAAACAACACGCATTTGAATTTGCTGAATTGGTTCAGATTTATTTATGACTCAGCTGTGTCTGCCGTCATCGTGGAGTGCGACGTCTGCCGGACGGCCCACAAAAGCCAACACGTGGATCTTTACAGTTTACACCGCCAGTTAAACTTCCATTTTTATTGACCACGTCGGATCATCCACTCACCATGCTCCACGTGGCAGCCAACACGTCAACCCTTGCCACCACCTCCGACCATTGGACCATCATCATCATCATCTTTCAGGTGAGTTTTATCAAAAAAAAAAAAAAAATTCTTCTTAACCTTTTTATGCTGCCCCTGCAGGCCTGCACTCCTCGGAATCCTAGACCCTTTTTTTTTTTAAATTTTATTTAAGCACTGAAAATCCTTCCTGTTAGTAAGTACCAGTAGGAGTACATTTCTTCTTTACCACTTTGGTATTACTCACTCGCCGGGGTAATACTTTCAGAATACAGCTAATGTGTCTCTCATGAGCCTTCTTGACTTGAGAACATGGCGGGATTTCAGGTGGCTTTTGTCTTTTGCCTTTCTTTTCGGAATTCTTTCTTTTCATATGATTAAAAAAAAACCTAGCAGCCAACGATTTGCTTGCTCTGCCAATAAATGGAACTAAATTCATGGGTTTTAGCAGTATGAAGAAACGTTTTGCAAAATGTAATGAGGGCATTTGTTTGTTTTGCAACGACCAAAATTGTGTACAACCAGCGGCAAAGTGGTAGAAAAATTGCTCCTTTCTAGGCTTGGACAGCAGCGGCTCCTCTGTCCGTTTCCTCTGCAAAAATTGCCATTACTTCCATGACTAAAATTCAATCCAGCATCTATTGTTGGGGCCTTTTACCGGGCAAAAATAAAGAGCACCTTCCTAGATCTATCATTATTGTTTTCCTCTCTTTTTTTTTTCTCCTTTTTTGGCCAGCATTTAGGAAAAGCACTACTACTACTGCTACTTTCACTGGCTGTATGCTTCCCATTTTATTGCACTTGCGTGGCGAGGCTTTTAACCGATTTTGGGGGTAAAACTTTTATTCGCTATTCAATTCTTTTTCAAAAAAGTCTCCCTTCAAGAATCATCCGAGAGAGAGAGAGAGATCCCCTTTCATAACTCACAGTTTTTTGTATGAGTGTTTCGATAAATGGACTCTGCGAAGACACTTCAAAAGCCGGCAACTTTTGAAGTGCTCCGCAGCACTTAACTACTAAACCCCCCAAACCCCCCCAAGCGATGTGGGAACTTAACCCCACAGGGTGCCCCGCTGCTAAGAGATAAAGACCCCCCAGACTCCCCGAGACAGGTTTTTCCCTTTCATAACTCACAGTTTTTTGTATGAGTGTTTCGATAAAGAGAGAGAGATCCCACTAGACTAGAGTTTAAAAAAATGCACAGAAGAAGCGACAATCGGCGCTGGCCAGCACACAAAACCGTTATACACTCTTTTCCCTTCCAGGTTAAGATTAAACAAAGAAGAGAAGAAGAATAAGATTAAACCATCACCAGCGGATGGTGGTATAAATGCGAAAGATAGAATTTTTTTTTTTAACAAGATTACTGCGGGACTAGTGGTAGCATTTCTATAAGCTTAAGCTAAGGCTTTGCCCCTCCAAATTCGTGGGATTTTGATTCCCCCTTTATTTCACCGACAATTCAGGTGATTATACTTCTTATCAATTTGCTCTTCTTGGACCAATGAGTTCCGCTTTCCAATGTTCGCTCTTTATTGGGAATGCTTATTTTTTATTGATCCAATTACGGAATTGGATTTCTTCAAGAAATTTTCTCTTTTTTCTTCTAGCTAATCACACCAGATAAAGATCTCTGCTTCATGCCGTCTGGTGTGCTGATCGATTAGTTTCCGTTTCTTATTCAGTTCTGGAAGAGAATTGAGAGGTCTGATAAGATCTGGGATTTTTCTGCTCATTTAAATTCTGGTGCATTCAATTGTTTTGAATTTGTGGTCGTTTGAGTTGTTGCGAAACTCTGCCATCAGCATCTGGTGAAATTTCGTTTCTTTCTTGTATGTAAAGTGTGACTATACTTGACTTCACTCCTACGGTTATGTTTCCCCCTTTTGATTTCCACTTTCTCTTTTATTTTTTGTTCTTTCACTTTCTCAGACACAAACCGTTGGCTTTTACATCAACGTTGTTCTTTAGCCTCAAGCCAAGATGAATCCATATGGTTTTCTTACCTGAGTCATGTGCTTCTGCATATTCAATCATGTTGAGAGTATAAAAGTTCATTTCTTTTCCTACTACTGCAACGATCATGTGCTTTACAGTGTATAGATAGCATTTCATCCGTTACATTAGTATGTTAAAGAATAATTCTTGTGAAATCAAAGCTCCATGATTTATTTGGCATGCGCGATCTTACGCGCTCTTGCTTCTCTTACCTGGCCATTGATGCTCTTTTTTATTCAATCTCACAATTAGACTACATGTTTAGCGTTTGACTGCTTGGTGGAATTGGAGGGTTTAACACAGGCAGTTCTGATTGATACTTATAAGTAGTTGATGTAACGTCTTTTCACTTTGTTGGAGTCATCTTAACTTGTTAGTTGTATGGATGCATAGTATCTGTTACTTAAAGGCTGCCTTTTGTTTGACTTTTTAATTGGTTGACGTTGCTCTTTTCTATCAGCTATGATGGCAAAGTGACTCATGTGATCTGGACATTAAGCTTAGTAAATACAGGTGCTTTTGCTTCTATTAGAGTTGACAAATGTATTTGCATTATGGAATTAAGGGAAAGATCTTTTCTTTCTTGTGTAGGTGCTATTGCATCTGTAGCTTATATTCGTAATCTGCAGCAGATAAGATTGATGTGCAATGCAGAGATCACGTAGAGCTCTTCTACAACGAAGAGCTTTGGAAAGGGCTATTTGTGGGAGGAATCGCTTGTGCAAGGTTTCTGTTTCTGTTTCTGTTTCTGTTTCTGCCGTAGTTGTTCTCTGGGGACTCGTGTTCTTTTTGAACATATGGTTTGGGCAAAGTGATAATTATAAAGGTTAGTTATGATCAGACTTTCTGTTTAAAAATTTCTTCTCTCTCTTTCTTTTTCATTCAATCAAGGGAAAGTTTTTCTATCAATTTCCAAGGGAGAGCAGTTGTAGGGCTCTCAAGAATATGTAATCTCGGTGGTTTATCACCATGGCTCTGGTTATAGAATTTTGACACAGCCATGGTGATCTCCATTTTCATGATTCATGATCAATCTTGTTCCTTAGACCTTGTCTCCTAGTTATTTGCCTGTTTTTGAGTTTGCAGTGATTAGCCTGTGTGAATAAACATTCAATTGCATCAGTAGACTAATCCTTTTCCTTTATATTAAGGGGCGGCAATTCCCGGGTAAAAGTGATGTACTATTGTTGCATCGTGTGTTAGAGTTCTTGTTAATGCCTGAATAAATTGTTGGGAGATGTTGGTTCATCCCTCTTCCCTGTGTTCATCAACAAGTTCTTTCATACTGCTCTCCTCTCCTTAACTAAAATGAACCATCTTGTTTTCTGGTTTGAGTGAGTCAAAGAGATTCTAGTAACCTAAACAGACGCAACACAAGGACAAAGCTAGGGAATCCGTGTTTTAAAGAGGAGGAATATCCTGTAACAAAATTGAGATAGCATAAATTGGTTTGTATGAAAATTGCACTTGCCTATGCGGTTGGGGGCTTAAGTTCTGGTCCCGCAGATCACTGTTTCCAGTTATATGGTTTTTGCCTGCTCGCTTTACTAGCTGCTACCTCTAATCTCTTTACTCGTTGTGTTTAACTTGTTCCTTTTGGTGGGTGTAGATGGATCCACAGATTTTCCTGTTAGTGTAAGAATCTGGGATGGTGACAAAAGAGAACCTGATGTGGGGCAAAGTTCTGCTTCACCTGATGGCAGGAGTTCGTTAACGGAAACTCCTTCTGTGGACTCTACTGAGGCTTCATGTTCAGAAGCAGGTGGAACTGAAAATGTAAATGGTAAATTAGAAGATTTGTCGAATGATGCGAGTCCAGATTCACGTTTTCAGGAGCAAGGGTTGGGTGGAAAATCAGATATTGCCACAACTTCAGTAAGAGAAGATTCAATATCAGATAGATTTTCTCTTGCAGTACCTTTAGGACTTGATGAATTCAAAAACAGAGCAATCAGTTCCAGGAGTAGATACATGAGCAGCCATGCTGGGAGCATTAAACATAGAGTTGAGCCTGGAGGGGCCGAGCACAACTATGCTTCCTCATCAAAAGGAGCTAAGGTCTTAGCATCCAACAAGGATGCCTATGGTGCTTCTAATATCTTAAGCAAAGACAAGGACAAGTACCTTCGAAATCCATGCGCTGCTGAGGAAAAATTTGTTGTAATCGAACTCTCAGAAGAAACATTGGTTGACACAGTTGAAATAGCAAATTTTGAGCATCACTCATCCAATTTAAAAGAATTTGAGTTGCTAGGAAGTCAAGTTTATCCAACTGATACATGGACTAAACTCGGAAATTTTACTGCTGGAAACACAAAGCATGCTCACAGTTTTGTTCTTCCAGAGCCAAAATGGGTTAGATACCTAAAATTGAATTTGCTCAGTCATTATGGTTCAGAGTTTTACTGTACGCTCAGTGTTTTCGAAGTGTATGGCATGGATGCTGTTGAGAGGATGCTTGAGGATCTAATATCTGTTCAAGATAAGGTGATTGTGTCTGATGAATCACTTAGCCGAGAGACGCATATGCCCCATCGTCCAGTACCAGCTGAAGGTGACAGTTATCATAACGTTGATAGTGAAGTGGAACCTGAACTTGCTGTTGGGCACTCTGACACGAAACGAGTGGTAACAACAATTGATGTTCCAGATCCTGTTGAAGAAATTCGTCAGCATCAGGTTAACAGGATGCCCGGGGACAGTGTTCTCAAGATTCTTATGCAAAAAGTACGCACACTGGATTTGAATTTATCAGTTCTAGAGAGATATCTTGAGGAGCTCAATTTCAGATACAACAAGATCTTTAGAGAATTTGATAGAGAAATGGGAGAAAAAAATGTACTTCTGGAGAACATAAAATCAGACATAAGGGGTTTGCAGGACAGCAAAGAGGCTATGGTTGGTTTTTTTTTTTTTTTTTTTAATTCTTTCTTCTCTTTATGCGTGATTTTAATTGTTGGTAGATATTGACATTTATAAATCTTGCAGAGTAAAGAGGTCAATGATCTTGTGGCTTGGAAATCTTTTGTTTCCATGCAGCTGGATGATATAGTCAGAAGTAATGCTGTCCTCAGGTGGCTTTCTTTCCTTCAGAGTGGGTATTTTGTTTGCACTTACATGGTTCTGTGGTTAGTTGTCTTTGTCATGCAGTAGGTTTCTCATTCTATAACATGATTGTGTAGTACATTTGCATCAAAGTTCTATGGGTGTTAGACTTGGTCCGAGAAAATCAGTTGACATTCTAATAACAATGATTCAGGACAGAGAGTGAGAGATTTGAATGGTTTAGTCGTAAGCATTGGGAACTGAATCATCTGTATGCCTTCTTCACTCTCTGTCAGTGGTGTTGTGCTCAACTTCTCAGACTTCTGTCTGTGGACTGTCAATAAATGTTCTTCTACTCTTTTATACGTGCCATTTTTGGCTGTGATTCTAAGTGTGCATGTGATTGTAGGTTGGAGGTGGAAAAAGTCCGGAGGAATCAAGTACATATGGAGAACAAGGGCATTGTTATTTTTCTTGTATGCTTAACTTTTGGGTTCTTTGCACTTGTGAGGCTGCTGTTTGTAGATATGGCGTTGAGCATGTATAGGTCGCAGAATTCCGGGAAATTTTGGTCATTAGGTTCTTCCTGGTTTCTTCTACTACTGAGCTGCAGCATTACCATTATCATTCTGTCGTTGTAATCCATATAAAGCACCACCTAATTTTTTTCTAAAGAGTGTATATATTAATTATGACACCTCATGCCTGAAGGAAATATTTATTTGTTACGAGATTTGCCCCCAATTTGTTCTTTCGTTGTCTAAGCATCCAAGAATAATGATAAGGAACATAATAGTATCATTTTCTGGAACAAATTGTCAGGAAATCCGCATGTAACTGAGGGCAAGAGGCTTAATTAGTGGAATAGATTCTCACTTTCCAAGTGGACCAGAGAGACAATTATATCATTTTACTGTTTTCATGCATTTTATTTTTCAGATTATAAATTATATTTGACGTGGGATCATAAAATTCTGAGCACCGATTTGTCGCATAGCAAATTAACAAGAAACAGGCAATTGTTTAATGAGTAATCACAGGCGAAATTGCAGAAAATTTTCTGGCACTAAGACTTCACATGTACTAACTAGTGTATGTTGACAAAAAGGGTTCACGGAAGAATGCTTTGAAGATGATTGAAAATCATTCTCAGATAAGACGGTTGCCTTGTAGGACTTTTGTGCATCTCACCCGGTTGAAGATTAGCTGCCTCCACAAACCAATTGAAAAGCAGGGGAAGACTATAAACACCATGACAAATCAAAGTACCCAAAAAAAAAAAAAAGATGTTGCAAGGTATCCTGAACCCATCATTATTAAAACTTGGCTTCTGTCTTTATGGGAAACAAATATATTGTTTCGCTTACGCTACAACAGGCCTAAACCGCCGGCAGGACATGATACATCATAAAGAGCAAGGCCAAATTTGAAAAACTAAACCAGGCCTAGGTTCTTTGATCCATAACATACTTATCAGTAAATTAAGGTTCAGTGGATCAAAGACAAGAAATCTATTTGCCTTGTATACAATGGGATGGTACACAGGGTCCATCAGTTCCCAGAAAAACGCAGAACCCTGATAGTGCAATAATCATCTCTGATTATTGCAGGAAATAAATAGCCTTTTCCTGCATCCTCAACTCTGATTTCAAACTAACCTTTGGGTCCACCCACTCCGAAGGAATTTCAGGCTATCAAAAGTCCTCTCGCATATCTGCCTTCCTCTTGGCCTGCATGGCAAGTCGAGCATCTCTCTCCCGCTCAAATTCCCGGTAATCAGTACGTTGCAAGAAAGATACCTTATCCAAATACTGATTCGAACTCTTTTTGTACGTTTCAAGCTCTTCTTCCAATCCTTTATTTTCTTCCTTGAACTCTCCCCAATCTTTCTTTGTCTTGTCAAGCACGCTGAGCTTTTGCTTCTTTTTTATTTGTTCAAGAACAGCATCAACAGCAGAAGCAGGGCCAGTTGAGGCTTTGCCTTTATCAAATGCTTCTTTTGAGCTGGTATCAACGAGTTTCTTGAATTCAATCTCTTCACCAGCAAAGTCTCGAAATTCAGTAACCTGCAGATGCAACGGAGTCTTCATAAAGAATGGCAGTACATAAGCTAAGAATTTGACAGAAGAACCATAACTCTGACAATACAGCTACTCTATTAAAGAGCCAATTCAGTCCACTCCAGTCCAGGATAACTGAAACCCAGAAATGTGATAGAGCTAAATCTTCAACCAGAATTTAGCCAAAAAGCAGCACTACCCAGATTGAGTTTACAGTATACAGTAATCAAGAAAAATCTTAGAAAAGATGATCAATGACACCCATCGTGAGGGTACAGAGCTCGGTCAATTAGTTGTAATCAGTGTAGATAAACATGAGCAAAGCATAACATTTTCCCCGCACACATAGCAAGAATCCTCAAAGACAGAAAACTCCACCCAGTAAAGCATTGTGAACAAAATAATCAGTGTACCTCCACTTTCCCTCGGCTCAAAGCTGCTGCTGCTGCTGCTGCTGCTGCAGCATCTTTAACTGCTGAGAGAGCGGCAGCAGCAAGCTTTTTTGCATCATCACTACTACCATTTTGAGCTACAATAGGACGCTTCCCTGGTGCACCTTCTGCAGCTGATGATGTCTTCTTTGGTGCCAATCCAAGGACTTTCATCCAATTCTGGAATACCAAAAGCAAAATAACTGTATTTGGCTCCCAAGAGTTATGCTATATAATTTTTTGAAAAAAAAAAAAAAAGGATCCTCAGATCGGATGAGACCTGTGAAGAAGGCTTTGGAGAAATTTTGTTAATACTTGAGCTCTGGTATTTAAAGGTGGATTTGAGAGCCTTCCCAGACAGTCCTTTATTCATCTGCTGCCAGACAGCATCTACCCTAGCTTTCCTTTCTGCTACGGAAACACATTTGTTTTTTAACATTTTGCATCAGACAAGGTCAATACCCCCATTTTGGCCAGTCAAAGGAGAACAGTGGAGGGAAAAAAAGAGAGAAAAAGCGGGCAGGGAATAAAAGGGGATTCCGCACAGAAGATTGGTTTATACAGAAACTTGGCATTGATGGAAAGGCATACAAGTCTCTTACCAGCTTCTTCTTCAGGCAGTGTGTGTGATGGAGGAGGAACAGGTGCAACATCTTGATTCGACTCCACTTTCATACCATCCATTACTTCTAGATTAACAGGCAGACAATAATTTCCATAAATAAGGATACCAAATTGCCACAACATGTTATACGAAATCCAATACGCAGATAAATTACAAGAACTAAAGAACGTGAGCTATAAACAATGTATCCAGCTAGTAGATCGAAATTGAATCTGTACATTAACATATTCACACACACATAAACAAGAAAAAATGGAAATCCAAACGAAAGTGGGGATCTTTGCAATATTAAACAACAAGCTACATATAAACAACAAGAAAGTGGGGGGAGAGTATTTGGGGGATAGTTTCTAATTCTTGTATCCAACTCAAAGACATATAGTACATAAATATTTTTTGATCATTGCGGCGGGCTCACTACTCGGCTGTTGGCCCTTTTTTTTTTTTCGTAATTTATCAGAAGCATCCCATCGTCAATGGGTATAGCAACTAATTCGAGTTTAACAGAAGGCACAAAAGATTAATTGAAGAATATAAAAAAAAAAGGCACCAAGAATTAATTGTAAATCCATCTTTCGATAATCCCACAGGAAGGAACGATACATTAAGTTGAGAACTTCTCTTCTAAAGAACAATTTTAGAGAACGAACAAAATAAATAAATAAATAAACTTACGAAAATTTTTCATGGGCTACCGGAGACCAATGGAGAGAGATGTGGAGAGGGTTATCGGCTTTTACCTTCGGAGTTTGGAGAGGGTTCGGTGACTGGTGGGCAGTGATAAGGGTGGTGGGGATCTTGGGTTACGGAATTTGGCTGGTTTGGAGATTTCTTCTGACAGCTCCTTTCCTTGTTTTTTTTGTATTATTTCGCTTTTATTTTTTATTCCCTCCTTCTGAGTTTTGTGAAGGGGTTTGTTATTTATGGGTAGCGTGAAGAATTGTGCTGTGAAAAGAATCTGTCAGCCACCGGGGAGATATGGTAGGACGCAGCCGGAGGACTTAGCAGCTGCTTCTTCTTCTTCTTCTTCTTCTTCTGTGTCTTCTATATATTTTTTTTTAATATTTTTTTTCCCCTGTACAGAAATTGGGTTACTTTACTTAGCAGCTGCAGAGGAGGAGGAGCACAAGGAGTCCTCTTTGTGTTGGATGATCCATATATTTTCTGTCTTCTGTTTCTTGCCCGTTTATAGTGAATAAGGCAATCTAGCCCACACCCACTTTCCAGCCCAAGCCTGCTTTTTAAATGATGTCTGGAGAAGCTAAAAAATATTACCATGGGTAGGTTCCATTGGCCAGGCTGCAAAAACAAACCGAGCAGTTGGATTGGATTGGATTGGATTGGATGCTGACCATTAGGTGCGTTCGATATATAAAATTGAAGTCAGAATTCATTAAATTATTTTGTTATTAAGTATTAAATTTAATATATTTAAATATATGTATATCACATCCAGTGATAAATGAATAATTTATTACTTAATTTTGAGAGCAAGTTTTGTTTAGAAAATTCAGTGTCACTTTATTAATTCAGATGTTTAATTTTTTATTATCAAAAGGTCTGAATATGTTAAGATCTGAATCTATTAAACTTAAGTGTCTTATCCGCAAACTCTGATTATAAAAATCATTCATGGCATTAGCGGTCGTGGAAGATGACGGTAGCATTTGAAATGCCACACAAGATCTCAAGTTATACCAACACAACAAGTATTTGACCATAAGTTAATATTACATCATTATTTATTATTATTCCACAAGTGTAAGCGGGCGGAATCCGCGCGCCCAGGCTGGGGATAACAGAGAGTTTGTTTGGACAAGCCAAATTTGGTTTGCTTAATTTATTTTCACAAATCCCAATCACCTTTTTACAATGTTTTAAAACCCGGACCGTTAATCGAACCGGTGAAGTGAAAGGGTCGAGGTTCAACCGGTCGGACCGGTTCAACCTCGGTTCAATGAATTTTTTAAAAAATAATTTATATAAATATATATGTGCACAAAATAAGACATGTAATGGATAATTTAATACTTTATATGATGAAAAGTTTACTATTTTTGAATAACTTGGATTTTTAAAAATAAATTTTTTAAATTATAAGTTAAAACAAATAAATTTCATCTCAATTTCAATTATATCTACCAAAAAAATCTTAAATATAATCCAAAAATATCACAATATTTGAAATTATACAAAATTCACGTCTATGAGAATTTAGACATTGTGAACTTAAATTTTAATTTACATTTTGGAATTTAAATTTACAATTTAAAAAAGGAAATTTGGAGTTCGAAGAAAATCAAGAGAATTGAAAATAGAAATGCAAATTTGATAAGAAACAAAAAATTAGATAAAAGTGAGTGGTTGTGGTATTAAATAAATTGGGTTAAAGAAAAATAATTCTTTTTTAACTTTTTTAAATTTAATGGACAAAAACAAAATTAAAATATGGAAGAAAACATCAATAAATTAAAAATAAAGAGGTTTGATTAAAAAATGAGTGGCAAAAGAAAAGATGATAGAGAGAGAGTGTGTGTGTGTGTTGAAGATTAAAAAGAAAGAGTCATGAAAGGATGATATTTTGTGAAAAAAATGGAACAAAAGAAATATGAGTGTTTGTTTTATATAAATAAGTTATCAAAAAAAACTAATAAGATGTGATAGTGCAACGGTTACTACATTGGTCTTCTATTACAAAGGTCTTGAGTTCGAATCTTGATAACTACATTTTGCAAAAAAAAAAAAAAAAAAAGGAAAACTCAAAAACCGGAAATAACCGGTTCAAATCCGGTTCAGCAGTTTAGCGGTCCGACCGGTTTTTGACTGGTTTCTTGACAAAGTCAAACCTGACATTGAACCGGACCGGAGCCATGGCCGGTTCGCGGTTCAACCGGTCGAACCGGCCGGTCCGGTCCGGTTTTCAAAACACTGCCTTTTTATCTTCCCAATCACCTTTTTATCTCACATACATCACATCACAAAAAGTGCTACAGTAAATATTTCAAATAAATCATCCAAATAAACTCTTATCCAAACAAACTCAGAGTGTTGTCGTGAGAATTTTGGATGCTATTTTCCATTGCGTGTATTGTTTAGTGCGTATTTCCATTGAACGTTACATGGCAAACGGATCTTCTGTCTCATATTCTGTGCCACTCTCTGTCTCACTTTTTATTATATTGCTATTTCTCATTCATAAACATCATGTTTTAGTTCTTTTTTGCTTCCTTATGATCCAATAACTATTAATTAAGTAAAAAATAAATACAATACCTTCAAAAAAGCAATATATAATAGAAAATTAAAAAATACAGCAGAAAATTCATAAAAAATCTCATTTTTTATGCATTTTGATTTTTTGAGTTTGTTAAATTTTGTGTATTACTCAATTAATAGTTATTGGATCATAAGGAAGCAAAAAAGAACTAAAACATGATGTTTATGAATGAAAAATAGCAATATAATAAAAAGTGGGACAGAAAGTGACACACGGTGCGAGACAGAAGATCCGTTGCGACATTACATGGTATGTATAAAAAAACTTCCTTGCTTCTAGAGGGCTGAGGGACTGTTTTTCAAGAATAGTACAAGTAGGATTATCATCTTCCACGTACGTACTAATTGTGGTGTAATTGAATAGTCAATGTGCGTCCTCTTCATGCTTGCGTCCTTGTTCCATGACCGACCGGAGATTCGCTTTCATACAAATATTAACAAAGCAGTCTTGATCATTAAGTAAAACTAGCTAGCGTGCTCCAGTATGCTGGTTGGTTAATTACCATGAAGAAGCTGATGAATATGGTGGTTTTTGATGAACCACTAACATTTGTTATCCTGCGTCTACTTATTAGCATCATCCTCATCACGTCATTTGCCGTCCACCCTTCCTTGTGTACTGCTACTGCTACCGCTACTGATCATGAAGACATGAAGAACAGCACCAGCAGCAACAGTACTCGTAGCAGCTGGATTCTTGCTACTTGTTTAGCTGATTATGGGGTCAACAATTTCACCCTCTTCCCAAGTTATCATCATCATCTTGGTCAAGACGCCAAGCTTTATTACACCTTCCTCGATTTCTCCATAAGCAACCTTAGGTTCGCCCAACCCTCCGTACCTAAGCCCGCTGCAATTATCATGCCCCAGACCAAAGACCAACTAGTCAACACCCTCCTGTGCTGTAGGGGCAACTTAGGAGGAGGATCTTTTGAGATCAGGGTCAGGTCCGGGGGACACAGCTACGAGGGCACTTCCTCAGTTGCTACTGATGGCTCTCCCTTCGTCATCATCGACCTCATGAATCTGAACCGGATTTCTGTGGATTTGGAGTCCCAAACGGCGTGGGTGGGAGGAGGTGCCACCCTGGGCCAAACTTACTATGCTATTTCCGAGGCCAGCAGAGATCGTGGCTTCTCAGCTGGGTCTTGCCCGACGGTGGGGGTTGGAGGGCACATCTCAGGAGGGGGTTTCGGTTTCCTGTCCAGGAAATACGGGGTGGCAGCTGATAACGTGGAGGATGCGCTGCTGGTGGATGCAGCTGGACGGGTTTTGGACAGGGAAGCCATGGGAGAGGAAGTGTTCTGGGCCATTCGGGGAGGCGGTGGAGGGATTTGGGGGATCATTTACGCCTGGAAGATCAAGTTAGTCGAGGTCCCTCGAACCGTGACGGCTTTCACATTGTCCCGACCTGGCACCAAAAACTACGTGGGGAGGCTTGTGGAGAAGTGGCAGCACGTTGCACCAAAGCTGAGTGATGATTTTTACCTATCAGTTTCCCTAGCTTCGGATTCGTCGGAAGGGCTTCCGCCAACTATCCAAGTATCAGCGACATTTGATGGGCTTTTCCTGGGTACTAAAAGGGAAGCTTTGTCCGCATTGATCAAGGTTTTTCCGGAGCTACGTCTCCGAGAAGGAGACTGCAAGGAAATGAGCTGGATCGAGTCCGTAATTTATTTCTCTGGGTTGGAGCCCGCCGGAAACAGCAGCACCGTGGAAGCCCCTCAGCTGAGAGATCGTTACTCGCCAAACAAATCATTTTTTAAGGCTAAATCAGACTACGTGAGGGCCCCGATTTCCAGCACCGGAATAAGGACAGCCCTTGACATGCTACAGAAAGAACCAAAAGGGTACGTGATCTTAGATCCTTATGGGGGATTCATGGAAAGGACCAGCAGCGAATCCATCGCTTTCCCTCACAGACGTGGCAACCTTTTCTCCATCCAATACATGGTGGACTGGGAGGAAAAGGACGACCACGGGAGCAACGGGTACATCCACTGGATAAGAGGATTCTACAGTGCAATGGCGCCTTTTGTTTCCTCCGCTCCCAGAGCCGCCTACGTCAATTACCTGGATCTTGACCTCGGAGTCATGAACACCAGCAACAACGACAAAGAAACTGCAGATGGCGCCGTGGAAAGGGCCAGAGCTTGGGGTGAGAAGTATTTCTTGGGTAACTATGATAGGCTAGTGAAAGCGAAAACTCGCATTGATCCCCTCAACGTCTTTAGGAATCAACAGGGCATTCCTCCATTGCCCGCTGCCAATTGACTATCCAAGACTGCTGCCATGTATAAATAATGATACAGAGTGCATTAACAACACGATTAATTAATAATGTGTTTCTGCTGGATTAATTTTGTCCTTATTCCCTACCTATCTATCTATCTCATCGCTTCTTTGCTTTTTCAATTATCTTTTCTTTTGTATTTCACACATATTACATCACCAAATATGCTATAGCCAAAAATTTTAAAAAAAATGAAAGAAATAGTTTAACTTTGAGGAGATATTTTCAGATTTTGTGACGTCTACTTGTATTTCTCATTCAAGACATAATTGTTTATGATAATTGTAGATACTACGTGACTAAAAATTGTAAATTTAATAAATTTCAATTTATTAAGTGCTGAATTAGAAACGGACAATTTCAAACATGCAAGATTTTTTTAATTAAATATTGAATTAAGTTATCAAACAACGCCTAATTATCAAATAGGAGTTTTTGGCTAAAATAATCTATTTTTCAAAAAATAATCCCAAAATAACGCTCTTTCAG